TTTGTGTCTTAGAATTTTCTCGTGATTCTTACATTCATTTATAAATCAAATCTAATCATATTCATCCTTAACCCATGCAAAGGGCTCATGATTCTTACATTTATTTTTTAAAAATCAGATTCTAGCCATACATCATTGACCTATAAAACGGTATGTGTGCGGTTTGCGTATTTTGCCAAAAAATCTTTTAATTATAAGCGAAAACAATGTAACTTCTATATATCCAAGCATTAACTAAATTTATTTTATTTAATTGTCTATTCAAATGTTTTTGTTTTGTCTTGTTGGTTTGAGTTTCCATTTTTTGTTTTATTGGCAGAGCCGGACTTGACCCTACTGCAATTATATATATATATATATATATATATATATATATATTAATGTAATTATATAAAGCACATACTGAACATAGAAAACAAATTAATTAAAAATCAGTAGGATAATAAAATATTAAATGTGTCACACATTATTAAAATTTATATAAAGATGAATTTAATAATAAAATGAAAATATCATTACTAATTTCAAAAAAAAAATCATTTTAAGGATATAAGTCAATTTTTTTTTTTTTTTTTTTGTCGACGCCCATTTTGTAAGATCAAGTGGTAGACAGACTTGAGCCGTTCCGTAGAAATGCTCTGTCCGGCTGGGTCTGATCTATATGGGAAAAGAGAATACCACTATTTCTCGCCTCTTTGGCGAGAGAATCTGCACGCAAATTCCTAGACCTCGGAATATGGGTTATGTTGAACTCTAAGGATATAAGTCAATTTATTTTTTTATTTTTAATGATTTCAGATAATATTTGTTATATTATGGTTGTAAAATTTGTGAAAATATTAATTATTTTATATATTTTTTAGTTTTGAATATGGCCCCCGGAATCTACGAACCGGCTCTGTTTATTGGTCTAAATTTACGTTGTCTTCCCTTGATATTTTGTGCATTGTCGGAAAAAAGTATTTTGTGTATATTCTAAATAATCTATTTCCATTATTTCTTCAGTATTAACTACATCATTTCATTTATAAAATAAACATTTTTCAAGTTGAACAACGTTTATAAAAAAAAATGATGGGTTTCAGATAACCAAAAAAGAACCAAATGCTACCTGGAGACTTTTCAAGTATTTATTTGGAGATATAAAACACTATAGTATAACCAAATTGAACCTACTTAAAAGGAATCCTGCAAAATATGAACTGATACTCGTTGGGTATGTAAGTCTAAAACTACTCTACTCTTTTTTTTTTTTAATTTTTTCATAATAATAGGTATTTTAATCCTAAAAACTGTACGGATTTTTAATGAGTTGTAATATATATATATATATATATATATATATATGAAAAAAATCTAAAATATTTCTTTTCATTCTCTAAAGTTTATATATTTTAAAGGGTTGTCAATGTCTATGTATTTTTATCTTAAAATGCATATATTTTCAGAGATTTTGCTTTTCATTTATTTTCATATATATTTTTATATATGTTTTTAAAATACCTACAATTGTCTTAGTTTTTCTGATATTTAGTTATTTTATAATATTATAATTTTTAAAATAATTATATGGTGTTTAGATTGTACTTTGAGGATTATAATGTTATGTAAAGTAACATTTCATAAGTGGTACATGATTGATAGATATTCAAATGAAAATTTTGAAACCGTTTAAGTAAACCATTGTAATTTTTTGTTGGAACAGTTGCAATAAATTAATTGAAACATAACTATTTGTGAATATTATTTGTATTGAACAACCACTGACATATTTAGTGATAATCATCGCAATTATTGCTAATTGTAGTATTGATGATAAATCATTGTATTTTTTGGTGTTAACCATTGCAATGTTTGGTTATCAACCATTGCAATGTTTAGTCATCTATATAAGGAGTTGTGGACTTTAACAAATCACAACAAAAAATTAACAATCGCAAATAGAGTTAAATGGAGAAATGTAATGTTAAATGATTTTCACAGAAGTTTGANAATAGTATTTAGAGATCTAATAAAATCTATTAATAATTATGAGGTAAATCCATAATTTATGAATTTAGTTGATTTTATTTAATTATTGTGTTATAATAAATGTTAGTGTTTTATAAGAACTTTCAAAATTCAAAGTCATTATAAATGAGAAAGATCATATCAACATAAGTAAACATATATTCAGTATAATATCCAATGTAACATATTCTTACAAAATGAGTTTTCAAACGATATTTTTACAAAACGAGCTTCCGTGCGATATCGCACGGGTTCCTTTCCTAGTAATAATAATAGGTAGTTTTGTCAAATGATGAAATCGATCGGTAGATCATGGTTTTTTCGACATGATCTGACCACGACGTGAACGGCTTCGCCTTGCCCCTATAGCATGAAAACTCTCTGAAAAGACAGGTAACTAATCATGTCAGGGAGGAATGATGAAATCGAAAAGTTTTGAATAGAACTTTCGTAAATGGGTTTTATGTTTGATTAAATTGAAAAAAAAAAAAACAAAAGGACACAGCTTGACTTACGGCCATGTACAGCTGATACGAACGAAAACAAAAGCAGTAAGAAGCACAGACACCACATTTTGGCAATAGTCCCACCACATCCTCTTCGATCCATTTTCTCTCTTCCTTATCTTTTCCTTTTGTTTGGTGTAGCTAATTTGTTACTAGAGTCTTTTATACAAGTCTCACATCTGATGTGTTTTTAAAACGTCTTTCGTCTCAGAACACGTTATTTCAAGTCAACGGGCCGGCACTGCCGTCGACGATTAAATCAAAGTAGTCATTTGAACGAATAATCTTTTATTCATACTAGAAGAAGTCATCATGGACGAGTACATTAAAAAGTACTATATCTAGTCAAATGCTGTGACGTTAGGGTACAATGTAAGGAACCGAACCAAAACGAACCTAAATGTGTGTTGAAGTTGATTGAGGTCTCATCTCAACACTTGTTATTAAGAGTAAAGATAATAATTATTTCTCTAGAGAGAAAATAATAAAAGTAAAGATAATACTAAGAGTACGTTAATCATCCAGACACACACACATACATAATAAGGAGTTTTGACAATAAACATAAGTAAGAAAGCCCAAGGTTGCATTGTATAATCTCACACCATTTATTAATTATTAAACAACAAAGAGCTTCTTGAGAGAGAGATATCTAGTTAGAAATCCTCTGCTTCTTAAAAGCAACGACCTTTTCGTGAATCTCGCGGGCAAACTCAATCATATGAGCTACATACACAAAGAATTCATGAGAAGTTTTTACCTTAGAAACAAAATTTTTTAATGTACGTACCTGGGTGAGCGTGGCCGTAACGAATTTCACCGGGGGGAACGGGACGGTTAGTAAAGATTGTAACTACGCGCTCAACAGTTATTTTGAATCCTTTCACTTCACTTCCATGAAGTTTCAGCGCCTTAGAGCACCCCCATTAGGGGATTTAAGGGGAGGTTCACACGTTTACCGAGGGAAACAGTGACGAACTCGGCGCGCGTGGGTTCGTCGTGGTGAACCCGGTTCGTCACGAGTTCGCCACGTGGCAAGCCGTGATTCGCCAATTTTTTTTTTTTTTTTTTTTTTTTGAAAAAGTAAACGAAAAATAAAAAAAATAAAAAAAAAAATAAAAAAAATACAGGTGGCAAACCCCACCTCAGTATCACTGGTGGGGATGCTCTTAGAGCATGAACATTGCAAGACTCTTATATGTGATCCTTAATGATTGTTTAATAATATAAATGTAGTTAGTGGGAATAAGAACTTTAGTTAAGAAACTTCTGTTTTGAGCGGAACAATGGAAGTTTCTTAACTAGGGGTTTCTAAAAAAAAATTAAAATTTTTTTTAGATAAAATTTATTTATTAAATAAAACATATTGAAATGTATTATTTAAAACATAGCATTTAAACAAAAAAACAAAAAAAAAAACAAGGATTAGTACAATAATGTGATAGAAGAGACAGAAGCTTTGTAGAATGTGTGATAGAAAGGAACGAGATAATGAGAGAATGAAACTTTGAAGAATGTTTTCCATAACTTTGTATGGAGCTTGTGTGGTGAGTATGAAAGAATGAATTTTTATTATATAGAGGACATGAAGACTTGCGACTTCCGTGACCATACCAAAACAAAATTTCATATTATCACAAGAAAAGTTCTGTGACTTCCGTGACCATGACAAACATACAAAGAGATCACTTAAACATATCAGACAAACATAAACAGGTAGTGGTTCACTAATCATATCTCTAACATGCATTTATTAACGACAATGTAAGCAATACAAAAATACAATGTACGCAGTGTTTTTCCAAGAGTTCGAGCTACCTGAATAGTTTAAGACCAAAGACAAGCAAAGCAACAACACCAATAACCAAAGCCTCAGGTGCTCTAACGCCAAATAGAGATGCACGAATGACCATACCCTTACTACATCTTCTCTTCTTCTCTGCAGAACAAAAATTAGACAAACTTTTCACAAAAAGAAATCAACTTTGTGATGATATAGAGAAATTCGAGACCTGGATTTGAAGATTTCGGCGAGATTGAGATGCCCATATGCTTTAAACCAATGTAAGGAGAGAAACAAGAAGAACCCAATAGAGAAAAGCATGAGTAGAGATAAGGTTTCGAAGCTTTGTAAGAAGATTGCAGATGAGGAGAAGAGGTAAGGTGAGATTTTGTAATCGTTGGTGAAGAAGCTATTATCTGAAAGGCCATGGCCATGGACAGCTTCGAAACTGTATATATCGCTTTTTGTTTGTAGCTTCCTTCTAAATTGCATGTCACGGAGAAGATGAGAAGGCGAGAACGACTATCACGGAGAAGACGAAGGATCGTTAATGGAGGATCGGTGGTGGAAGATCGGTGGTGGAGGATCGGTTGGTTTCGATCGGTGTTGGGTTTTCGTAGTTCTCTGCGACAGAGATAATGAGAAACTGAGAAGAAAGTGAGAAAAACAAAAGAAAACAAAATAGAAAATAGAAAATTAAAAACACTCCCTAGCCGACACGTGTATGAAGAAACACACAAATAATCGGTAACCAAACATACCGATTAAGGATCGGTAATGAGCCTTCTTTTTATTTTTCATTTAATTTAATTACTCAATTTACTTAAAACCCTTGTTAAGGACCTGCGATAATCCTGGTCTTAGCTTCTCCTTCTTCTTCGTGAAAATAGATATTAGTCATCTTATCGAGAGTACAGACATAAACATGGGTGATCTCTCCACAGGAAGAGAAAAGTTTTACTAAATCGCTCTTGACTTCATCTGCAGGGAGGCAAGTGTTATATCCCCCAACGGTAACGCCAAACCAACTGCAGTAAAAATTTTGTTATCAACAAACTATACAATATATAATTTATAGATAAATAAAATCAACTTACAATCTGCGGTCATTCAATAGTTCATCAGCCAGAGAGGATTCAAAACGTTCTACCTCCTCGTCTTCTTCTTCCTCCGGTTCAACTTTAACAAGAGCATTCCATCCACCAATGTCAGTTCCATTAAGTTCCAAGGCCTTCTCTTCTGCGCCATCTCCAAAAAGAATAACCAAAGCACGTCTGTTTTTTTTTTTTAGTTTTAGGCTGCAAGAAAATTAACAACACAAATTAATATAGCAAAAGAGACACAAAACAAACCTGTCGAGATTAGGGCTATCAGGGTCTTTGCGAAGAATAACATTAAAGACTTGGCCACATGAATTGAAGTGATTAATCAATTCAGTCTTGATATCATCCTCAGGCAGACAAGTGTCGTATCCCTCCACAGATATTATAGCTCTAATTTCATTTCCAGGAAGATACCAACAATTAACAAAAAACACATAGTACACACAAAAAAAGAAGCATAGAGGAGAGAATAAATAAAAGAATTAATTACCGGGGCTTGGATCCGTACTTGTCGAGAATTTCGTCTCTAGCAGCCTCACTCTCGAACCCTTCGAAGGTGGATCTCACGCTAGCCATGGTGAATAAGCAATAACCCTAAGCTGCCGCTTTACGATATTTTTCCAGTTTTAGGGTTTTAGGAGAAAGGAGGAAGATATTTATTTATACACATGTCAACTACAGCTTTGGACGCCCCAAGAAAATACATTTGGGCCTTTTATTGCTTGAGTTATTAATCAGACAAAATGATGGTCAAAGATCAAAGGGAGAAACATAAGTTGTATAAGGAGATAAAAACATTCAGCGTAGTTGTAAAATGATGAGTCGCTAGTTCATGCCTCATGGACCACAACCACGACGTGAAGTGCTTCCGTCTACCCAACCAGCACAATCTGAAAAGGCAGGTGGTGTTCTTATCATCATTCTTCTTGGTGTGCCTGTTAATTTCGCCTGATACGTCTCCACAGCACCATTTATATAATTTAACGATACAGATAAAAACCTCTTAACGATTTGTGTTGTCTTCCTAAGATTCTTTGTTATGATGTTAGTTTTAGGCAAAGATAAAAATTAACGTCATAACTAAAATTAACATCACAACAAGAAGAAGATTAGTGTTATAAAAAAAAAACTAAAATGATACAATTGAGAAGTTTTTAGTTGAACTACTAAGTTGTAAGAAAAAGGAGAGTTGAAACAACGACACAGCTTGACTCACCGGCTGGTAAAGGCGGCGTGACGAACGAGTTCTCAGTGGAAGACAAAGGCAGCAACATTATTGATAAGCAAAGTTACCAGTACTACCACATCCTCTTCCATCCATCTTCTCTCTTCTTCTTTTTTTTTGTTTGATAGTAAAACTAATGAAATAGTCTTATAAACAAAGTCTTCGTGATAACAAGTTATTTCAAGTCAACGGAAATGTTGTAGACGACTTTGTCAAGATCATCCGAACAAGTTATCTTCAGAAGAAAACTCGTTATAGTCAAATGCTGTCACGTTAGATTTTTAAAAACTTATATCTTTTCAAATTTGTGGAATCTTACCCTAGATGTAAGTATGATACTAACATTCATGAGAAGAGAGACTAGTTTTGTGTGTTTAATGTCACTATACAGTGACATGTTACCTGTACTGAAATTTCCCACTTGTGCAACTTATCTTTTGCTCTTTCTCTTCACCGTTATGTTTTGTTTCCAAGTCACTATAGATTTCCTAATTATCTATTTTGTTGGAACATTCATTGTCAACTTAGCTGACTGATAAAAGTGACCGTTCGTGTGAAATCTTGACAGGTTTATAGTGATACCAGACATGCTGAAGAATGCTCCAATATTCAAGAGAGTAAATGATGAATCAAGGTATACTTCTTGAACATTGTACATAGTGATTGACAAAGATAATCATCAAACCCATCTATGCTTCATAATCGTTAAATGAAGGGTACAACGTTGTTTTCTTTATCAACGCATGGAGAGAGCTCAGTAGGTGTAGGCAGAGGCTAGGTTGCATGGAAGCTTCGTCATACGTCTGTTTCCCGCTTCGGAAACGGAATCGGAAACGGAAGCTTGTGGAATCTCTCGGAATCTCGATTCCATTGCGCTTCCAAAAAAACATTTTTAAAAATACATTGGAAGCTTACGCTTCCATTTTAGAATCACGCTTCCGTTTTAAAAGATTCAATGTCATAAGTATATAAAAATATAAGAAACATTATTTTTGTTTTTATATAATAGTGAAATAGAGAATAAAAATATAAAAATATTTAAACTAATATGATAAATTATCTTTATGCATTGAGGATTTATTAAAGATATATCATATATATTCAAATAGATTGTATTAATTATTTATGAAATATCTAAAAAATAATTAGTATAATAATATCTTATAAACTTGATTTATGTATATTTTCACGGTTTTAACATAAAATCATTTAAAATTATTATAAATGAATAAATGTTTTATTTTAAATTTGACTCTAATAATTTCTAGTCATATTTTTAGTTTTCTATATTTTAATATATGTATATATATACATATATAAAATACGCTTCCAACACGTGTCCGCTTCCTAATTTTTTTAAAAATCTCGCTTCTACGCTTCCATACGATTCCGCTTCCGCGTATCCGCTTCTGTTTCCATGTAACATAGGGCAGAGGTAGATCTGCTAAGTTATATATTAGTCATGTCACCAATGCTAAATTATATAACATTCCAAGTCTTCAGTGGATCATCTGATGACTTTTGAACTTTCTATATTAAAAAATCACTAAGACCGAATTAATTTATTGCATAAGTTAATCGGACAAAATGGTCAAAGATCAAACGGAGAATACACAAGTTGTAGGGGATAAAACATTAACCATAGGGTAGTTCATGAATTGGTCGACATGGTCCAACCACGAAGCCAGAGCCGATCCTGAGTTAAGTCTAATGAAACATTAGTCTTGGATCCCCAAAACTTTTGAAAAAAAATTACATAGAGAAAAAACCCAAAAAATATTTTAAACCCCCAAACTTTGTAAAAAAAAAAAAATTTTAGTTCAAATCTTTAATATATCGCCAATGGCCCCCTAATCATCAGGGCCGGCTCGGCCAGAAGCACGTCCCGAAAAGCTAGGTATCGCACGTATCATCATCCTTCTCGCTCCACCTTTTCTTGGTGTCCCCTCTTCACCATTTATATAAACTAATCATACACATAAAAACCACTTTCAAACAATTTGTGTTATCTTCCTAAGATTCTTTGTTATGATCAAGTGAGTTTTAGACAAAGATAAAACTTAAGAACATAACTAAAATTGATACAAGCGAACAGTAATTAATAGAAGTTTTAAATTGGTTATACGAAAATTAAACTACTCTTTAGCTTTGTCGACGAAAAAAAAGAGAGTAAAACAAGGACACAGCTTGTGACTCACCGGCTGGTAAAGGTGTGACGAACGAGTTCTCAGTAGAAGACAAAAGCAGCAACGTTATTGAGAAGCAAATACAGATTTTGGCAACATCCATCTTCTCTTTTTGTCTGATAGTAAAACTAATGAAAGAGTCTTATAAACGAAGTCTTCCGAAAAAAAAAGAACGTCTTCCGTCTGAACAAGTTGGTTCAAGTCAACGGGCAATGTATTAGGCGAGATTAGTCAATGTCATCCGAATAAGTTTTTTATACTATCCAGTATCCAGCCAAATGCTGTGACGTTAGTTTTTTTTAAAAAGTTCATATCGTGTCAAATTTGTAGTTTGATTGGTTAATTTTAAAATTATTTTGCCAATATGAAAAGAGTTACGAGAAAATTGCTCTAAATTCTTTAAATCAATGCAGGGAACGAGCTTAGACACGATACACTTTTTCTAATGTTACAACGCAATAGGAGCTAGGAATAAACAACACATCAAAGTTTATTGTGTTGCCTTGTTTTACACTTCTACTAATTGATCTAATTTGAATATTGGTGATTTTGTTTATATTATTCTATTGTTGTAACTATGATACCAATCTTTTTTTCAACAACAAGAAAACATTCATGAGAATAGAGACTAGTGTTGTGTTATAATATCACTAGACATTGACATGTTATACAGAGAGAGATCCGAAACCACACAAAGAGATGCGTTGCTCTTTCGCTTTATTGTTATGTTTTGTTTTCAAGTTACTATAGGTGTTACAAAAAAAAGTTACTATAGATGATAGATTCCAGTGTGAATTGAACCGTTGGTTTTTACAGAAGAAGAAACCTAGCAGGTTCAGTTCTTGAAAGCAAAACCAAACTTGGATGTGTTGTATTTGTTAGCTTCCCTGTTTCTGCCTCGTGATGAAAACTAACCATCCTACAAGAAGACAGCCAGAGGGAGAGAGAGAGAGAGGAACTAGTTATGTATTTTGTGGCTACTATAGAGAGCACCAATCCAAATTCTATAATGTTTTCTAGACTTTCTAGTCTGATGTTTGGTTAGAAACCAGGAGAGGAAGAGCACCAGCTGATGTTCTTTAACTTTCATATATAAAAAAAAAAAACTAAAAAGCGATTTTATTCCTTTTTAAGTTATTAATCGAACAAAAGATGGTCAAAGATCAAAACGGAGAAAGACGCTAGTTGTAGGAGATTAAAACATTCAGCATAGTTGTAAAATGATGCAATCGGTAGTTCATGGACCACGACCACGACGTGAACGGCTTCTGTTTACCCAACCAGCATGTTGTGGTGCCGCAGGCGCTACTATTATCATCATTCTTCTCACTCCATTTTTTCTTGGTGTGCCTGTTCTTTTCGCTTGATACCTCTCCTCTGCACCATTTATATAATTATTTTCAAAGCATTCACATAAAACCACTTGCAAACAATTTGTATTCTTTTCCTAAGATTCTTTGTTATTATGTTAGTTTTAGGCAAATATAAAACCACTAGATGATGCAATCGAAAGTTTTTAATTGAACTTCTAAATGGGTATGTGCTTATATGAAAACTATACTACTCTTTAGGTTTTTTTTTTTTGTTCAACGCTACTCATTACTCATTAGGTTTGTCGACTAAATTGTAAAAAGAAAAAAACAGTGAAACAACAACACAGTTTTGACTCACCAGCTGGTAGAGCCGAGACGAACGAGTTCTCAGTCTCATCACAAGACAAAAGCAGCAACGTGATTGATAAGTAAAGACACATTTTGCCAATATTGCCAATACTACATCCTCTTCTATCCATCTTCTCTTTTTGTTTGAAAGTAAAACTTATGAAAGATTCTTTATAAACAAAGTCTTATGTGTCATAACAAAGAGTCGTATATACAAAAGTTTTTGTTTGATAGTCAAAGGGCACTGTAGTCGACGAATAGTTCAAAGTCATTTTGAACGATGAATCTTTTATTCATATTGAGAAAAAGTCTTCATGGAAGAAGAGTACATTAAAAAACACTATCTAGTCAAATGCTGTGACGTTAGGTACGATACAGACTCCATATTGTTCTCCCAAGCAACGAGAATTAAAAGATGAAATTTCGAAACCGATAATACTTGTGCAACTTATGTTGCTGCTCTCTTACTCACTCCTGAACCGCGTTGGGTTTTTACAGCAGAAGAAAACCAGCAGGTTCAGTTCTTGAAGCATAACCAAACTTGGATGGGTTGTATTTCCAGTAAACACCTGTTCGCTTCCCTGTCCCTGCCTAATGATGCAAACCAGCCATCTTCCCTGTATGAGATTGATCATCAAAACATATACAAATCTCAGAACCTGTAATGAAAGTATTCAAATTATAAAAACAGTTCTTTATTTGGTACCTTCTTACATGAGCTTTTCTTCAGAGTAGCCTGTGTAGAACTCGCAGGTTTTGCTCCACTCTTCGAGTCCTTTTAAGCGTGGACTCAGCCGTGTAAATAGCTGAAGCAGCTAACTTAGAAGGTGCATACTGAAGCATGAAGAATGATAGAAGCTCAACCTGAAACATACATATTCACATTGTCACACCTTATGATATTTTGATTTATTACTCTATATATCAAGATATGATCAAAGAAGTTACACAAACCTTTTTGTCAGATTGTGCAGCTTTGAGAAACCTCCTCATGAACACATACGGAGTAGGCAAACAGAAATTGAATTATAAGGTATTCGCCATTAACTTCTCCTGCAAGTAAACAGACCTCATCAACACAGTTATCATCTTAACACATAAAGCATCCATAGTAATGATCATTTTGTCTTACCATGTCAAGAACTTATCTCCTAGTGTAAGCCTTGTCTGAGATTAAGATGAGATCATCTACAACTGGAACTGATACTTCTTCGTATTTGCAAGCAAGCAACATAGCTGTTACACCCAGAAGCTGAAGCTTTTTCCTTGCAACATGGTGATGAACCGCAAGAAATCTGTCTATGAGGTTGATTGTGAGGTGTAGCGTCTCTTCCATCAGCTCAAACTTGTAATGTACCTGCTCACCACAAGTGTTCCACATTCAGTTTCTAAAACTATCTCCAAAGACGGGAGCTCAAGCTCCAGATGGTGCCTGAGCTGCTTTCGTGGTGAACACGCCAAAGCCAGAGACTCTTGCAGTGGCCATGGCGTCCAGTCGTCGATTCTTGGTTCTACACGTTACAAAGATGGTGTGATCTCAGATAACGGCGAGTCTTTGTTTCGTGGTTCTACACGTGGCATGATCTCAGATAGTGGACCCCGTGAGTTTTACCCCTTGTTTAGTCAGATGCTTGTTGAGTCATCTGACAGGTGAGTTTTACCCAGAGCCGTGCGGACATCTTTTTGTTGCCAGAAGCCCAATCATAAATATAATAAAAAAAATAATAATAATATACCTTATAATAGAGAAGAAACTATATAGAATTAAACTACAAACAAACTATCAATTAGATAAAAAGATTCTTTGTGTTTAAAAAAAAGTGTTTCAAGAAACAATAAGATTCTTTTATTATTACAAAAATATCAATCAAGTTATTTATTAAATTTTATAACTAATTTTAAAGCTAAGATTATTAAACTAAATGTTTTAATGCCATAATCGAACAAAGATAGAATTTTATCAATTTTATTTTCCAATATTTAAAAAAGGCATTCAAAACTATAATCCTACATCTAATTACTCTTATTCGTTAACAAAAACAATTGTGTACATGCTAGCTTAGGAAACCCATATATTTATAAGTCCATGTTTTCAAAATCCTAATTATTATAGTGCTTTCATCGAGTAATTAAAATTCTTATAAATTATTATGGCTCTCATAGTAATAGATGATGCCCTCAATTTTTAAAAATATTTTGTTGCCATAAGCGAAGGTTTCATTTTTTACACTGTGGCACGGCACTGGTATTACCCTTGTTTTACTCCAAAAATCCATCACGCGATTTGTTGTTGGAGATATTACTGGTGGACCGCAAAGCCAAAGGAAAATCCATCATCATAGAAGATGATGGTGTCAATGTCCATCCCACTAGCCAGACCAGAGCAGCTATTGCACCTCCTTTCATATTAAGGGTGGAAGAGAAGATCGAAGTGGAGTTGAACTAGTACGGTGGAATCCGTAGCTTTGATTTGAAAGGAAGGCTTTCGCTTGTGATTCTTAACCAAGAAGATGGGTTTTTAGGAGTTCAGGTACTCCACTCTCTTAGAGTTTTCTTAAAGTTTTCACTCTTAATGATTGGTTTGTCGATTTATTCTAAGCATAGATCGGAACAATATAAGCAGTTTTGTATATGTCTCCATAAAATAGTAAACTCTAATGTATGAGTATCTTATGTTAGACAAGATTGGAAATACAATACAAAAAATCATTTTCTTGTATTGTTGTTCCGTAACGAAATAAATTAGTTATTAGAGTTTTATCATTGATGACATATAAGTTAAGTGTTTTCTCTCTTAATGATGGGTTTGTCGATTTATTCTACCTTTCTTATCAGGTTGAAACAGGTGACAACCCTGAGATTCGTTACGAAACCCATCCGGACTTCAACGGAGAACTCTTTCTTAGCCAGAGGATTTTAGGATTTCTCGCTTGTCCATTGTGCCATGAAGATGGTACTCTTCTGTGGTGGAGAATGCAAAGAGCAAACAAGTCCATGGTGCCACAAACGAGTAAGACTTTTAAAGCAAAAGCGATGTTTGTCTTTGTCAATACATGTTAAATGTTTCATTTCTTCTGGTGCAGTCCTTCTCTGGACTAATTAAGGTCTCTGGAAACATGACCCGTGTCAGCATAACGTATGATGCCTCTTGCTTCTTTAATCTAACAAACGTGATAATTTTCATCCCTCTTCTTCCTCCTGCTCTTAGAAGTGTGATGACAGTTATATATTGTTGTTCTAGGAGGTATGAAAATCACTTACTTTAATGATTTTCTATGTTTTTTATCAAATGTTAAATACTGACTTTGGTTGGTGGATACTGTCAGTTATGAGTCAGGGAACTCGGTGCTGAAATGGAAGTTACCTCTGATCAACAACTCTAACCGACGGGGTTTACTAGAGTTTTTGGTGCCACAAGCTGATTCATCGGAGGTGTTCTTCCGCTGGTGCAGGTGATTCGAGTGTTTCCTGAGAGAGACAGTGGTGATGATGGGTTTGCGCAGACGACACATCTGATTACTCAGAATTATCATGTGGTCTGATTATTCAGAATTAACTACCATCATTCTCAGTGGCACAACACAGCTAGAAACATTTTGTGTTGGGGTCAAATTTTTTCAAAAACACAATTTATAAACTATCATAAAACTATAAATATATTCTACGATAATTTATAGTTTGAAACTATTTATCACATTATTTAGCAAAAAAAATATTTATCAAGGTTTCATTTACTACATTTTCAAATAGTTTTTTCTATGAAACAATTAAAACAACTATTTAGAAACTAATCACAAATGCGATTTGCACTATTTTTGACGATCTTCATTTATGTCTGAAAAACTATCATCCGTTGATAGATTTTTCTTTACATATTCGGAAAAACTGATCTATTAGTTTTCTAATTGATTTTAAGAATTATTTTACTTCTAAATATAGAATTTTTTGTTAAAGTTATCCAGAGATCATGAACATAGATTAATCCTAAACTTTTTATATAATTGAATCAATGAATTATAATCATTTCTGGTTTAGTAAAATAGTATAAACAACAGAAAATAGTAAAACAAAAAAATAGAAAACTAAGCTCAATGTATCAAAAAATTATTTGTTGAGTATGAAAATCTCGCAGTCTAGTATTTGTCCAGAAAGAAATACAAATCATCTATCTTTTTCAAATTCGCTCATTTATTATAATTGTGATTTTTCTATTATTAATTATTTGGGTCTAATATAATTTAAGTCTAATACAAATATGTAACTAAAATTGAAGATTAAAAATGTTTTCTTATATACCTAAAATCAATAAATTCAATGTTTAACAAGTAAAAAGATATATTCATATTGTTTATATAATTAGAAAACATCTTTTATTTTTAATGTTTTGTAATTACTTGAGTCGTCAAATTTCTTTTTATAATAATGTCAATAAAAAACATTTAAATAAAAATAAATATATTAAAAAAAGTGGGGTCAACTGACCTCATTGGTCTTTCATTGCCTCCTCCTCTGATCATTCTCCTCTTCACCATTTCTTTCAAACAATTTGTGTTCTCTTTCTAAGATTTCTTATGTTATGACAATATTAGTTTTCTAAATTGCCAAATGGGTTTTGGCAATACTATCACATCCTCTTCTGTTTCTGTTTAATAGAAAACTAATAAAAGAGTCTTATAAAACAAAGTCTTGCACACAAGTAATTTCAATTCAACAGGCACTTTAGTCGACGATTAATTTCAAAGTCATTTTGAACGATGAATCTTTTTATTTCATATATTGAGAAAAAAGTCATCATGGAAGAAAGAGAGAGTTACATTGAAAAATAGTAATCTAGTCAAATGCTGTGACGTTAGGTACGCGATACAATAGTAGTAGTCTGTCTCCATATTATTATTATTATTCTCCAAGCAACGAGAATTAAAAGATAAAATTTCGAAACCACATTTGCAACTTATGTTGCTGCTCTCACTCACTCACTCACTCACTCCTGAACCGTTGGGGTTTTCAAAGCAGAAGAAAACCAGCTGGTTCAGTTCTTGAAGCATAACCGAACTTGGATGTGTTGTATTTCCTGTAAACACCTGTTAGCTTCCCTGTCCCTGCTTCGTGATGCAAACCAGCCATCTTCCTCGAACATTCCCTGTATTGAGAGATTGATTCATCATCAAAACCAATACAAAATCTCAGAACCTGTTTCAAATTATATCAAGTAAAAAGCATTCTTACATGAGCTTTTCTTCAGTGTAGCCTGTGTAGAATTCGCAGGTTTTGCTCCACTCCTCGAACCCTTTAAGCGTGGACTGAGCTGTGTAGATCGCTGAAGCAGCTAATTGAGAAGGTGCATACTGAAGCATCTCGTACTCTACTAAGCAAAGCTCAATGATAAAGAACGATAGAAGCTCGACCTGAAACATACATACATATTCACATTGTCGCACCTCATGATAATGATTCTATTCAAGATAAATATGATCAAAGTTACACAAACCTTTTTGTCAGATTGTGCAGCTTTGAGAAACCTCCTCATGAACATATATGGAGTAGGCAGACAGAAATTGAATTGTAAGGTATTCGCCATTAACTTCTCCTGCAAGTAAACAACAAACCCCATCATCACACAATGATCATTGAGAGCATCCAAAGGTTATGATCATTTTATATATTTACCATGTCAAGAACTTCTCTCCGAGTGTAAGCCTTGTCTGAGATCAAGATGAGATCATCAACAACAGGAACAGATACTTCCTCGTATTTGCAAGCTAGCAACATAGCTGTTACACCCACAAGCTGAAGCTTTTTCCTTGCGACATGATGATGAACCGCAAGAAACCTGTCTATGAGGTTGATTGTGAGGTATAGCGTCTCTTCCATCAGCTCAAACTTGTAATGTACCTGCTCACCACATGTGTTCCACATTCAGTTTCTAAACTATCTCCAAGAAACTAAAGCGTGTGTGTATGTATGTACTAACCTCAATCAACCAGTCAACAAGGATCCCTCTCATCCTCTCGTTAATGTCAGGTTGATTCTCCATGTAGTTAGGCGGGACACAGCTACGACACTGCACAAAAAAAAGTAATTGAATGGTTATCATCAATCACTGATCTTGAAACCAGAATGTGACAAACACCAAAGCGTTAGTTACCTCATTTTTCTTGTAGAAGTCATATATGTCATCAATGTAGTCAACAACAGCTAGAGGGTTCTTCTTGTCACAACTATCTATATCCATCACACCCTCTCCTTCTGCATCATTTGAATCTTCCATTTCAATACCCTCCTGTACAAAAACAAAAGAACAATATGTTACTACTCATGGCGTTTCATCAGACAACAATGTTAAGAAGTTTTGAAATGTTTATTTGTTATTACCATTCTGTCAATTTCATCAAGCATGGCTTCAGTGTGTTGAACAAACATTGGCTCATTAAAATCTCCATCTTCTTCTTCTTCCTCCACATCTATTATAATAACATCTACTGGTTCGCTCTTGGTTTCCTGTATACAACACATCACTTGAGATTAGACACATAAGTAAGTCATATTAACACATAAAACGTTCACTATAATAGATGGTAGGTACCTCCTTGTGGATTTGGGTCTTGTTCTCAGCTAATTGAGCAGCAAATTTCCTGAAACCAAACCAAAAATTAAAATCTAAACTGTGACACTGTAGCAGAAGAGGCAATGAAGTTGTTACTGACCTAGTGATTGGGCGATGCACTGGAACAGATGGTGGAATCTTCTTGTGACACATCACATTTTTCCTGAAAACAAAAAAAGATTTAGTTCTTTGATACAAGTGAACAGAGTTTTGTAAAAAAAAAAAGGTTAAGAATAAAATAATACATACTCAGACAATGGTCGCTTGTTGACAGCACAAGGATAAACCGGAGCTCCGATGATGTTCTTGTTTATGTTACTCAGTGCTCTTCGTGTCTGCCCATTCGCCGGATTCACCTTTCCTCCACGTAAACCACCACCTTCACCGACAAAACTCGTAAATTAACAACAGAACCAAACAAAAAATGAGTTCTTGTTTAATTTCAGATAATACCTTGTGGATTCATGAGTCCAATAACTCCGTGTCTGTTCTCATCTGATCCACCCATCTGAAGATGATCACACAGAAACATGTGTGTTAACTAAAATCTAAGCAATTCCAAGTCTTTGATACGATTAAAGAATCTAATCAAAGACTCAAACAAGAATCATAAAGCCCAGATGAAACCAACGTCTAAAGTCTTCACCTTTAGCTTTCAATCAACGATCCCTACAAAAATCGATTGCTCTCTCTCTCTCTATCTATCTTTCTCTGTCAGCAGCAAAATCCCATAAGAGCAAACCGATTCTATCTTTCTCTCTCTATCTTTCTTTCTTTCTCTCACAAGAAGATAAGATATGTAAGAGTAGCAATCAAGGTTTTGAAGGACGACGCCAAGATCGGATATATGTCTGCAAGACAAAAAAAATATTAAAATCAACGGCTAGTTAATCTGAGCCGTTGGATGCAACCTCTACAAAACCCTGATGACCCTGAGAAAAAAGCTCGGCTTCTTTTTGGAATCTGGAACCCAACGGCTATATTTTTACTTACGCCATGTGCGTTTTTTCAAATTTTCTGCCGATTATTTCTTTCCTTGTTATTATTACTACCATGATCCACTGGTCCAATGTATTTTTCACTTATCACCGACAACCAACCGCTGTGTAATTAAATTTCCATAAATAGTATTGAATTCATTTAAATACGCTAGTTTATTTAGTTAATCAATTAATTATGTTTTAATTGGAACAAAGATAATTATATAAGGATTTTATAATTCACATTTTGAAACCAAAGGAAAAAAAAAAGAAGCTTAACGGCTCTTAACCTTTTTGCTTTTCCATTTGCTTCTTTTTATTGAAAGTCTACTTACACACTCAATAGTCAAATGATCATAAATAACCCGGTTGTTACTTGAATAGTGTATTTACCAACGGTAGTCATTTAGTGTTTTCTGTAGATAGCTTTTTGAGGTATGATTATATGATAAATCATTATTGCTCTGTGTAAATCATAATGGATTTTCTTGTTAGTATGTCACCTCAATGAAAACTACCATACAACCAACGTTTTTTCTTTTTTTTGTAACACCCATACAACCAACGTTTAAGAAAATGTTTCATCATAAAAAAATGTGGTAAGTTGGTTTCGAATGAAAGAGAATCAAATTTAGGTATTGCTATAAAAAAATCTGATATGGAAGCATTGCTATCGGATTGTCCAAGTTTTAGAATGGTTCATGAAAGCATAATGTTTTGATATGCAAAATTCTTATTAATTCATAAAAGAGAAGTAAATAAGGAGGGAAAAACATCATTAAAATCATTTTAAAATATTTATTAATATCTGATACATATATATATATATATAGTTCTATGTAATAATTCGTTTTCCAAATTTCGTGTCTTATCCATAATCAATATTACTCCCCCGTTTCATTATAAGTGTCATTTTAATATTTTAATACTAATATATTCATATTTATAGAATCTGTGTTTTTTTTTATGACAAAAAAATATATTCGTATTTAATAGATAATTAATTAAATAAAAGTGTTTTAAATAAAAATTTATTAGTCGTTCAAAAGGATAAAAGATGAATTCAATTTATAAAAATTATATTGAAATTGTAGAAAGATATTTTTTAAAAATTAGAAAATAAACTTAAAAGAACCCGGTTAGCAAAACAAACCCAAGTACCTTCAAAAAACCCAAAGCCCATTAGATACCTTATAAGAATAACGAAACCCAATACGGCCCAATACTCTCGAGTGACTTACTTTCTCCTTCCACCATCCTACACTCTCTCTCTAGAGTTCCTACGAATCTTTTCCAAAACCATTTTCTTTCGTGAACACGATTCGATTCGAATCCGAGCTCACTGCAGCGTCCTCTCTCAAAATGGAGTTCGACACACACGAAGACGCGTACACCTACTACAAAGACTACGCCAAATCCGCCGGATTCGGAACCGCGAAGCTAAGCAGCCGTAGATCACGGGCCTCAAAGGAGTTCATCGACGCCAAATTCTCCTGCATCCGCTACGGAAACAAACAACAATCCGACGACGCGATCAACCCCAGAGCTTCCCCCAAAATCGGCTGCAAGGCGAGTATGCACGTGAAGCGCCGACCCGACGGCAAATGGTACGTCTACAGCTTCGTCAAAGAGCATAACCACGAGCTCTTACCTGAGCAAGCTCACTTCTTCCGGAGCCATCGAATCACCGAATCCTCCTCCGATTCTCGTAGTCTCAGGCGGAAAAAGAACAATCCGTTGACTGATTCTAAGCATTTAACCGCTTATCATGACTTAGGGTTTTTAGACGGTTATATTAGGAATCAGAATGATAAAGGGAGACGTCTTGTGATCGAAAGTAACGATGCGAATATTCTTCTCGAGTTTTTGACGCGTATGCAAGAGGAGAATCGTAACTTCTTTTACGCTGTTGATTTTAACGAGGATCATGTTTTGAGGAATGTGTTTTGGGTTGATGCTAAAGGGATTAACGATTACAAAAGCTTTAACGACGTCGTTTCGTTTGATACGAGTTATGTTATTAGTAAGTATAAACTGCCGCTTGTTGTTTTCGTCGGTGTGAATCATCACGTGCAGCCTGTGTTGCTTGGTTGCGGGTTGATTGGTGATGAGACTGTTTATAGTTACGTTTGGTTGATGCAGTCTTGGTTGATGGCGATGGGTGGTTTGATGCCTAAGGTTATGCTTAGTGATCAAGACGGTGGTGTTAAAGCGGCGGTGTCTGCGGTTTTTCCGGAGACTCGTCATTGCTACTGTTTGTGGTATGTGCTGGATAAGCTTCCTCGGAATCTTGATTATTGGAGTATGTGGGGAGACGCTTTCTTGAAGAAGTTTTTTAAGTGTGTGTATGTGTCGTGGTCTGAGGAGGAGTTTGATAGGAGGTGGATGAAGTTGATAGATAAGTTTCATCTTAGGGATGTTCAGTGGATGAGGTGTTTGTATGATGAACGGAGTTTCTGGGCTCCTACGTTTATGAGGGGAGTAACGTTTGCGGGGCTGTCGACGCGGTATCGTTCGGAGAGTGTGAATTCTATGTTTGATAGGTATGTTCAAGGTGAGACTTCGCTTAAGGAGTTTTTAGAAGGGTATGGGTTGATGTTAGAGGATAGGTATGAAGAGGAAGCTAAAGCGGATTTTGACGCTTGGCATGAAGCACCTGAGCTGAAATCTCCGTCGCCTTTTGAGAAGCAGGTGTTGCTTGTGTACACTCATGTGATATTCAGGAAGTTTCAACTCGAGGTTCTTGGGGCTGCTGCTTGTCACTTGACGAAGGAGAGCGAGGAAGGAACAACTTATAGTGTTAAGGACTTTGAAGACGATCAGAAATATATGGTGGATTGGGATGAATCAAAGTCAGATATTTACTGCTCTTGCCGTTCTTTTGAGTACAAGGGATATCTATGTAGACACGCCATTGTTGTTCTCCAGATGTCAGGTGTTTTCACCATTCCGATAAAATATGTGTTGCAGAGATGGACAAATGCAGCTAGGAACAGACATCAGATCAGCGGAAACCTTGAGCTTGTGCAGTGTAACATCCGCCGGTTCAATGATCTTTGTCGGAGAGCTATTATATTAGGAGAAGAAGGATCTCTTTCCCAAGAAAGCTATGATGTCGCTATGTTTGCAATGAAAGAAGCTTTTAAACTATGTGCTATTAAAGGTAATACCATAGGATATCCCACCAGATGCGAAGAAGCTGCAGTTCAACTGGGAGATCATATCCATGAAGACAATCAATATGGATCCACATCAAAGCATATTGGACTCGATCATAACATACTACATGCTGGCAATGCTTCAGGGCAAGCTGAAATCAGAAGGGAGAAGAGAAGTAACCTAAACAATACATCTAAAAAGGCAAAGGTCCGTTAGCTTTTTCTTTTACCCTATAGAATCAGAATCTTCAGTTAATGTTTGATGGGTCTTCGATAGATTATGAAATCACACACACGGCCAAGAACAATGAAGAACAGTTTTTATCGATGAGTAACATGTTTGTGTACATTTCATTGATCTTTCTTCATTGGTGCAGCATGTGACGCAATCTGGAACTGTTGGGGAGGGAAGCCAAGAAGGATTTCAACATGTTGTGGTACGTTTATTTTCCTATATGGTTTCAAAATGCAAACTACTCTGTAACATTTAGACGAACTTGTAAAAAAAAACTTCATATGGTTAAAAACAAAGGTGTTATTATTGTTTTTGTCAATCACAGACTGGTCCAAGACCTTTTCAGGCGGGATTGGCAGCGCAGTTTCACAGCACGATCCCAGCAGTGTTTCAAAACGTGATCCCCACGGAGTTTCACAACATTCCGGCTACCAATATGCATCAAAATAATCCCCCTGGGTGAATGAAAAACAAAATACAGCCAACAAACTTGTTATCTTCTTGTATGTGTAATGTATCTCCATCTCTCCTTGTTCACTCGCTTCTTTTCTGGTTGCGTTGTTCTTAGGTTAAGTTAATAGAGTAAAGGATGTATGTATCTGTTGATAAACCTAATGCACGAATATGCATCAGCATGTAAGCTAATGAATTTTTTCAAGCCCATGAATCATTGTGAATTATGAAAGCTTAAGCCATACCAGGACTTGGCTAGTTCAATGAGCCATTTAAACATTACATGAACTATGATAAGAACTCATAGCTGTCGACCAGTTGACTTAAGTGTAATTCTAATTTAAAATACACCATTCGACTAACAATGCATATGTCGACTACTTTACCATCAAAGTCAATATGTCCGAGTGGTTAAGGAGACAGACTTGAAATCTGTTGGGCTTCGCCCGCGCAGGTTCGAACCCTGCTGTTGACGTAATTTTTTTCCCATTTGGAACCTTTTTTCCGCCTGAGAACAGGTTCTTAACTTAAAGAGAAGGAATATTGTTAACTCTAAAAAATCAAAATCAGGTTCAGAAAAAGCGAACAAATCATCACATTGTCAATGAATGCAAATCTTAATGAATGCAAATCTTAATTTTGAATCACATCAAAATGTAAACAAGAAAAATATATTATTCCAATACTGGATCATGTTCTTCTTACTTAAACAAGAATAAAGCAGTACTCTTATACCTCCTAGTTACAAAAAGAATTGCATAACCACTACCTACAATATCAAGCAAAGAGAGTGCCATCCACAGAGATGAATCTGATTCACCATCTTCACTAGATGGGATATGATTCATACTTTCTCTTCTGACTTCAAACCCTCCTTCACTTCAACAATACTGTCACTACTCTCCTTACTCTCCACCATCTCCAGCAGCTTCTCTTCCTCCTCCTCTTGCGGTTTACCTTCTTGCGCAGCACCAACACTCGGCTTCTTCACAGTAGACTGCTGATACATAACCCCACCAAACATACAAATCAACAACCCCAAAGTCCCAACAAAAGTCGAATGCTTATCCCACACAACCAAATTAATCACAACCGTCAACAACTTATTCACAATCCCAAGCACCGTGAACCCCGTCGCCGAAATAGCCCTCCGACAAGAGAATCCAAAGAAGGAGATAGCCAAACCAAACAAACAAGACAGCCCCACAGGCAACAAAACTTGAACCTCATACCAATCAGACTCCTCACTAATCTCATGCTTAATCTTCTTCAACTCCCCCATTATAAGCAACTCAAGAGGGAACAAAAGCAACGCCTCGAGGTTGTTATAAAGCACGAGCCCCCACGTGTTCAAACCAATCGTCATCACCACATGCTTGATATAGACAAAGTCTATAGTCATAGACACAAGATACGCAACCGCCCAGCTGTACGCAGCGACGGTGAACTGATAATCAGTCAAAACGTAGAGCAAGCTTCCTCCGAAGATAGTCCCCAAGGCTCCCCACGTCTTGACAGAAGGCCAGGGCTGGCTCAAGAAGAGGGTCTCGCCTACGGCGACGAAGATGGGGACGGCGGAGCGGAAGACGATGAAAGTGTCGACGTTGGCGTGGAGGAGAAGCTCGCTGTTGGTGAAGAGGGAGAGGTAGAAGATCATGGCGGCGGGGAGGAACCTCCACATGGTGGAGAGGGTCAGAGGGTCGTGTTCGATGAGGGAGAGGCGGGAGCAGAGGAGGACGCCGGCTGCGCTTGTGAGGTATTGGAGAGCGGTTAGGGCGCCTGGGTAAGGGAATTTCGTGATTGCCCATTTGTTGATGATGGAGAGGAGGGAGGCTGAGATGCAGTAGCCGGCGGCTACGCCGTAGACGGAGGCTTGACGGAGGAGGAGTGTGCGCCAAGTTTCGGGGGTGGTTTGGGTTTTGATTGGATTTGGGGTTTCTTCGTCGTTTGGCATTTTTGAGATTGAATCGGGAAGGAAAGATTGGATCTTGGAGGATCTAGGTAAAGGTGAAGACTTTAAGGTTATGAATCTCACTCGAGAGAGGATTGTGTAAGAGGAGAGTGGAAGAAAGGTTACCTCTTTAGGGGAGAGTGAGTGAGGAGTGAGGAGTGAGGAGGAACAAATCGTCGGCGAAGCTGTTTAGAGAGATAAAGAAAGAAGAAAAGGCCACCGTGGTGTGAAGAAAGCTTAGGGTTAAGCATATAGTAACATTTCATTTTGTTGAAGATGTGTGTATATTAATCAAGAGATAGATATTTTATTATACAGTTAGTCAAAAATTAGGCGGTCCAATTAATGGAACCGATCTGCAAATCTAACAATCAATTATCCGTAACTCTTGGTTAAGATTTTGTTTAGCTTATTTTTTCACAAATTTGCTATTTGTGTATTTTGTAATTTCTGTAAAACAATACTAAAAAATTTGGTATATATTTATATTTAACATTTTACTAAAAATGAATTTTACTAAACTGATGTAAAAAGTGTATTACAGTTATAAACCTATAAAACACTAAAGAAAACTTGAACTCAGTGGAAAATCTGGACTTTTAAAATGTGTGTTTTGTGGGGTTCTTGGGCATCTACCATTCCAAATTTATAACATTCTGTATCATATGCACATGGATGATGGTGGTAACTAAGTTAACTAGCTGGATTTAAAATCTTGCACAACGTGACTCACGTGCATCACACACGAGATCCAAAGCATCTTCATCTCTTTCTTCCTGGTCTCAGCTCAGAGACTTTATCATAAAAGTTTTTTTTTTGCTTCTCTAATATTGATCTCTGATTGATTAAATTTGTGGGATTTGGTTATTTCTTTCTTCTTATTGCAGGTTGATCAATCTGTTGGCCGGAAACTAGCTGGTAATTAATAGTATGTACTGTGTTGGTATATATAATTGACTTATAAATACAATGGCGAGTATTGGGTGTAAGTTTACATAATCTTGGACCCGTATATGGGAAAATTCAATTTCATGATGGCTAAATCGAGTTGGCTTCGCTTTGATAAAGTATGAAGGAAAAATTTATAAAGAGATATACACATTAGTTTGAATGTTTTGTCTAATTTGTTAAGTTTTTGCCAAGCATCTTGTAATTCAACTGAAACTAGGAGTTCTAACTAAAAGTGGAGCTTGGTCTAGTCCAAGTCACTAGAATTTTAGGGTGCACCAAATGGCTCTGTTGTCCAAGAGCGTTTTAGTTCAAGTCTCAACTTGAACAGGGCCCAATATGTGATCCAACAAAGCCCAAAGCTCAAAACAGCATCCCAAGCTCCTTAGAAAAGCTGAGCAAAAAAAAAAAGGATGATGTTCAAAAATTTTGTTTCATCGTTGTGTCCGCTTCAGTTTGGATTTGATTAACCACGTGGTTACCTACCAATGCTGTCAGCTAATTTATTAGGTTGTGTGATGAGATAGCAAAAGTGGGAACTCATTACCTAAACTATGACGTGAAAAATTATCACAACTTGTAAAGGTTTATTCGACCAATCTCTTTGAGGATTTTGCTAATTTGCCGTATATATAATATCATATCATAAAAAGAGATTCCCTTAGCAGGAAGAATCACTTTACTTTTATATAGTTGGAATCTTCTTCCATTACATGTTAGGTCAAAGTTTGTTGTTCCTTTCATTTTCAATCATATAACCTCACCTTTCCCTTCGAATATCAGTTGAGTATGCTTCTTTTTTTTTATGCACACAAAAAGCTTTTCTCAATTCAGTTCACCTCGAAGATGGCAGCCGACAAAAAGTATATATGTAAGCTGAGTGGTAATTATGAGATTTTGTCTAGGGAGAGAACCAAAACTGAGATTCATTTTTCTCAAGTTGCAACATTAATAATCATTTTAACCAAAATCAAAAGTAATCAAGTAGTCTCTCCATCTCACAAAACCATATTTTCCCATAGATTTGACAAGATAAATTAGTTTATAGTATAGCAACTATAAAATGTGATTTGTTTCTTATAAATGCTGATTACTGGAGTTTTCTAACTGTTCATTTATTATAACCAGAGATCAAAATAAGTTTTCGATCGTGAAAGCACTCTTTTCTCAAATGGCATTCGAATTTTAAACTGTTAGCTGGTGGTTAAGTGGTTGAGAAAAAACTATGATATCATTAGTCAAACATGAGAGCTGAGAAAGAAAAGTAATCTCATGAATCTAACCAATGTAATTGGAGAAACATTTTTAAAATATATTACGTTGAAGTCAAAGTATGTAATTATAATGGGAGTGACATAAGCCTCTTTGCCCTTAAATTAGAGTTTTAGGACAAATCCCAAGTGGAGGGAACCCACTCATCCACCACTTATTTTCCCATTCTTCACTTTGCGTAATTTTCAATAATCGTTTATTAATCTTCAAAGTTAAACCAATCATCATCACGTAAACTAGGCTTTTGGATTCCTCAAAGGTTGTGTTCTTGAGTCCTCTGAACTCATTTTCACTTGAATAACAGAAAAAATATATTTTTGGTGCAGTGTATGAGTTTTGACCTAAAACTCATCGCTTAACCTTAAACAACAACTAAAAACCACATGTGTTTGCTGTACTAAACCACCAAAAGTCTCCACATGTTTTGCTGTACTCCACAACGTTTTGACACTTCTATAGGTGAATGATTTTTAGCAAAGAATCACAACTGTTTCTAGAAGAGTATCACATTCACACGAGGCTAAGTGGGACACACATTGCCCTCCATTTCAATCACAAAGTATCCTTTGAATCCAATACGACAAACGCTGACCAAAAAGAAAAATAAATAATAAGACAAAACGTAATAATAATTTCTACTGATTTTAGTTTTTCTATTTTTCTACCTATCAGGGGAAAGCAAAACCTGCTCCCCACTTGTTTTCTTACATTCCAACTTGCTTTCATCAAATTATTAACTATTTCTGTACTTATTTCTTGTTAAAAACTTTAAAACAATTACTTGATTATCTTATCTCCATCTTTGTTTTTAGAAAAAAAGTTAGTTACTGGTATCATCAAATAGTTATGTTTTCAAGAATGTACACATGGGAATACCTTTTTTTGTTCTTACTTATTTCTCTATCTCATTTACCTCTTATTTTATTCGACTTCCACTAGCAAAGAAGAAAGAATCACTACAAGAACTGTTCAAGAAAAGTGAGCTGATGTAGTAAACTCAAAGACGAAACCGTTTTATATAGACACCACCTCCCATCTCTTCTCCAGCTCTGTAGGATTTTATAACATAACTTATCCCATTACTAAAAAAATTAAGTAAAACAACAAAGTCAGCGGCGAAAGTTCAACTATTATTCATAGTTTTGTTTGTTAAATCTCATTTAATATTTGTCAACTCTATTTGGTCCCTTATTATTGGCCCCAAAACTTAAAACACTTCTCCTCAACACTAGTCGAGAAAAGTTGACTTTGTTATACATAGAAATACTAAAATTTTATATCAAGAATACATGGGAGAGCTATTCACTGCCCAAGACATGAAATTTCTCAAAAATAAATATATTATCATTGTCACTCACTCTCTCTAGAATGTGGGAATCTCTCAACACCCCCACGCAGCCTGGAAGTGAGAGAAAGATAGTCATCTTCTCTAGTTGTGTATGAAAAAATATAAAGAGACCAAAGAATATTCTTTCTTTTATAAAATGCAATTTTTTTTATAAAAAATAAAAACTTAATTGAACGGTCTTTTCTTTCCAATGCGTGTAATGATATTTATTTATTTGATTTTTTAAAAAATTTCCGTGGAAGAGGTGGAAGTACTTAACTTAACTTCTCAACCAGGGACATACCCATCAAAGACATCTTTACAGCCTTTCTTTTCCCTCAGAGTTTGGGTGTGTTTCAACTGTTTCTCCTGTCTCTTAGACAAGTGGTCTTTAAGGACAGTTCTAAGATTCTCTTCCTTCAACTAAAAAAGGAAAAAAAAACATTTATAAACCAAACCTACCTCCAGGAATCTTCCGTGAATCTGACGTCTTTGTAAGTCTTTTCTTCCTTTCTATTTTTGTTTTTTCACCTCAAAGGTCTCATCTTTCTTTCTTCTCCATTAAGAAGGAATCAGATTAGTGCTTAACCAACTTAACCCACAAGGGATTAGAGATTAACCAACTTGTAGGAATCAAAAAACAGAGATAAAGTTGGAAGCTTTCACTATTGATTCTCTGTTCTTCCCTGTTTACAAGATCTTTGATTTGATTTGATTTGATTCTCTTCTTGAAATGGGTTTTTGTTATTGTTCTTCTTTTTTCAGATGTTGTTGTTGCTTCATTGATTTGAGCAATGGATAACAGTTATCTCCCCATGGATCCAGCTATGGACTCTTCATTCATGGACGGTTTGCTTCTAGATGGTTGCTGGTTAGAGACAACAACAGATGCTTCTGAGTTCCCAAACTTTAGTCCTTCAACTTCCCTAGCCAATGCCCCATTTGATCCTTCTTCCTTCATGTGGCAAGACACAGCAGCAATATGTTCTTCTTCCACCTTATCTCAGATGTATGGTCAGGGTGTTGCAGAAAGGTCTAGTCTTGAGGATCTCTCTACCCTGAACAGACGGTGGTGGATTGGTCCAAGTGGTGGTCATGGCTTTTCTGTTATGGAGAGATTGGTTCAAGCAGTGAAACACATTAAAGATTTCACTAGTGAGAGAGGTGACTCTCTTATACAGCTGTGGGTGCCTGTGGATAGAGGTGGTAAGAGAGTTTTAACCACAAAGGAACAGCCTTTTAGCCATGATCCAATGTCCCAAAGGCTTGCTCATTACAGAGAGATCTCTGAGAAGTATCAATTCTCTGCTGAACAAGATGATTCAAGTTCCAAGGACTTGGTTGGTTTGCCTGGGAGAGTTTTCTTGGGGCAGGTTCCTGAGTGGACTCCCGATGTTAGGTTTTTCAAGAACGAGGAGTATCCTAGAGTCCAACATGCTCAGGACTGTGATGTCCGTGGGACTTTAGCTATTCCTGTGTTTGAACAAGGTAGTAAGACTTGTTTAGGTGTTATTGAGGTTGTGATGACTACTCAAATGGTTAAATTGAGCCCTGAGCTTGACAGCATCTGCAGAGCTCTTCAGGTTTTGTTTCATTTGTGCTTTGTCTCCTTTTCATGTTGTATGCTTTTCTTGGAACCTTAAGAGTTGTTCTTGATCACAGGCTGTTGATCTTAGAAGCACAGAAGTTCCTATTTCTCCTTCTCTCAAGGTAAAAACTCTTAAATGTTTAGTTAGTTTTGACCCAACGGTCACTTAAACCGCTCTGACACATTGGTCATAGTCCTTTCTAGTTGAACCAACGACCCCTGATCACCTTTGTTTAAATCATTCTTGTAATCAGGGACCTGACTTCTCATACCAAGCTGCATTACCTGAAATAAGAAACCTCTTGAGATGTGCCTCTGAGACACATAAACTACCATTAGCTCAAACATGGATGTCTTGCCTCAAGCAAAGCAAAACCGGTTGCCGTCACAACGATAATAACTACATTCACTGTGTATCCACAATAGATGATGCTTGCTATGTCGGTGACCCTACAGTCCGTGAGTTCCACGAAGCTTGCTCTGAGCACCATCTCTTGAAAGGTCAAGGAGTTGTTGGAGAAGCGTTTTTGACAAACGGTCCTTGCTTTTCATCTGATGTCTCTAGCTACAAAAAATCTGAGTACCCTCTCTCTCACCACGCAACTATGTTTGGCTTACATGGCACGGTGGCGATACGGTTACGCTGCATCCACACAGGCTCAGCTGACTTCGTCTTGGAGTTCTTTTTGCCTAAAGATTGTAGGGATATAGAGGAACAGAGGAAAATGTTGAATGCTCTTTCGACTATAATGGCTCATGTGCCTAGAAGCTTAAGGACAGTCACGGATAAAGAGCTGGAAGAAGAGGGAGATTCAATGGCGAGCGAGGTTGTAGAAAGAGGAGAGACAGTGCCAAAGATAGAGAATACATATGAAGTACATGAGAGTGATAACAATCCTCAATTAGTGGTTGATGGTGGAACATCAGAGATGGGAGAGCTTGGTTTTGACTATGGTAAAGGAGTGAGTGTGGTGAATGAGAACAGCACTTTCTCTAGTGCTGGTGGTTCAAGTAGAGTGGCTGAGAAAAAGAAAACAAAAGCTGAGAAAAACATTACTTTGGATGTTCTTCGCCAATACTTTGCAGGGAGTCTCAAAGATGCTGCTAAGAGTATTGGTGGTAAGTAAAAACATTCACATCCTATTTCTTGATTGGTTTAGTTCTTTAGAGATTGTGTTATTGAATATGGAACTTGTTTCAGTTTGTCCAACGACGTTGAAGAGAATCTGTAGACAGCATGGGATACAGAGATGGCCATCAAGAAAGATCAAGAAAGTTGGTCATTCACTTCAGAAGATTCAACGTGTCATTGATTCGGTTCAAGGTGTTTCTGGTCATCATCTTCCTATAGGCTCCTTCTATGCTAATTTCCCAAATCTAGCTTCTTCACAAGAAGCATCATCATTACAACATCAACAATCCAAGCAGACAACATTCTTGCCTTCTTCCTCACATTCACAGCCTGCAAAATCCCCTGGCTCCTCGTGTAGCCACACCTCGAGCTGTTCAAGTGAAACACAAGCAAACAAGGAAGATCCTATGACTAAAGCTAGAGAAGATACAATGACTCTCTCAAGATCTTTTAAGGAAACGCAGGCCACACAGTTATCACCATCAACATCATCACAGGACGATGATTTTTTGAGGATTAAGGTGAGCTATGAGGAGGAGAAGATCAGGTTCAGGATGAGAAACTCTCGTAGGCTAAAGGATCTGTTGTGGGAGATAGCGAAACGGTTTAGTATAGAAGATGTGAGCAGATATGATCTGAAGTATTTAGATGAAGACAATGAATGGGTTTTGTTGAGATGTGATGATGATGTAGAGGAATGTGTTGATGTTTGCAGGTCTTTCCCTGGACAGACGATAAAGCTTTTGCTTCAGCTCTCTTCTCAGCATTTACAAGAACGTTCTTCTATCAGTGGATCACTTTCCTGACAAGAAGAGACAAAGATGTCTCATATAGTTTGTGTTGTGTAAGCATTTGTTCATAGGTTTTCTTTACTGTTTTTGGCAGAGAGAGAGAACATGTAAAGAGTCTTTCTTCTAGAACAAATAATTGTATTATTCTTGTTTACTACTATGTTTGTGTTGTAATGTGCTGTTAATTTGCAAATGTAGATACACATTTTCAATAATTACATTTTTCCGTAAATTAAAACTTTAACATCTATTGTTGGTAGAAAATGGAATTGCATCACTAGGAAAAGAAAACTTAAAGTTATGTAACTATCAAAAATGGAATTTGTATTTGCAGAAGAAAATAAGTACTGTCAAACAGAAATTATTTCACTAATTACATAGTATATTTTCTGAAATTAAATGTTAAATATTTATTTATTAGTCTATGATATATATGGAAACTATTACACGATGAATCTACAATATATAATTCAATGCATAGTGGAAAATTATGTTTAACGAATTTATTTGCACCATATTAAATGTTTCTTATGATGCGCCATGCAAAATATCTAGTTTACATTTTTTCTCTCATTACATAACCAGTGTCGGTCTAAAACATTTAGATGTCCTAAGCAAACTTTTAACAATATATTTTTATATTTTTTAATAATCATATATATAAATATATATATATATATAGATCACATTATTTTTGTACGAGTTCAATTGCATTAATAATTATTGAAGATAATTTTATAAAAATTTTGTATAGCAATATTTGTTAATATTATTACCAACTGTTTGATCATAATCAATCATAATTTATTAAAATAAATTGTTAATAAAAATATCACATTTAACAATAATAGTTTATTTAAATTGTATATAATTTTACTTATATTTTATAGGATTTTATTAAAGTTTATATATATACATAATTTATATTTATTTGATAATAATAGTAATATTCGTAAAAATATTAGTGTTGTTTATATAATATTTATGAATAAATATATTATACGGATTGAGAAACAATTAAACAAATTAAAACATTAGTTGTACTATTATCAGAGAGTATTAGATTTGGTACACCGACTAATAATTCTCAATAAGTAATATTTATTTTAAAAACTTTAGATATTTATGAATACTAATTTTTTTAAAAATTATATCTTATTAATTGGATGTCCTAATGGGTGGTTTGGACGGCTTATCCTATGGGTCAGCCTTGTACACAACTGATAATAAATTGTGTTTTCAGGAATTCTAACCTCAGATTTCCTTATGTAAAAAAACATTAGTGACATCAAAGGGATGTGTGTACAAATGTAGAAGAAATAAAAGATTTTTTTATTAAAAAAAAATAAAGATTTTACGTATGTTTTTGTGTGTACATATGACTGATTCCAAACTTTCCATAGAGACTATTTGACTATCTGGTTCGACCGGTTTTACGGACATGCGGTGAACCATGTCCATTGTTCCGGTTACGCTTATCTTCTTTTGGTTGCTCTCTGATAGTCCTTACAATTTCTAGTTCTCTAAGTACATCGTCCATTGGAGGTCGGTTCTTCGGGTCAGCCTCGAGACACCGTAAAATTAGTGCGGCGGTTTTGCTCACTGCCAAGAGTGGATACTTGTTCTCGAGCCGTGGGTCCATCAACTTCTGAATCTTCTTTTTCTGGGTCAGCACCGGTTTAGCCCATTCCACGAGATTCTGTTGTGCAGATGGTCGGTTTGGGTCTAGTGCTCTTAGACCGGTTAATAGCTCTAAGAGGACCACTCCAAATCCGTAAACATCACTCCTAACGTATAAATGACCTATATAACATTCAAGAAAACATATTATTGTAATAATCTAAAATCCAAATGCAATTATATAATTCAAAACATCATTTAAACGTTTTTTTTTGCCAATGAAACACTGCACGTATTTATTTACCTGTAGCCACATATTCGGGAGCTGCATAACCTTGTGTACCCATGACACGAGTGGTGACGTGGGAGAATCCATTAATGGGACCATTTTTGGCTAGACCGAAGTCAGAAAGCTTGGCGTTGAAGTTCTGTAAGAAACGGCAAAGAATTGTTAACCAAAAACAATGAGTGTCTAGATGAGACTTGCATGCAGTAAACATGGGAGCTAGAGATGCAAGAGACACCGTACGGAATCAAGAAGAATGTTGGAAGCCTTGAAGTCTCTGTAAATAACACTCTTCTCGGAGTTGTGCAAAAAGGTTAGTCCTTGAGCTGCTTCAATGGCTATTTTCAAACGTGTATCCCATGTAAGCCCTTCTCCTTCTGCGTTAACAATACATGCACATCTTATATATATAGATAAATAAGGCTGCCAAAAAGAAAAGAAAAGAAAAGAAAAAAAAAGATGTATAACTGTATAAGATAATGTGATTAATGGATGAGTGAAATTATACTTGAGAAGAGGTGGTTTTCAAGGCTTCCTTTAGGCAAAAACTCATAGACCAAGAGGAACTGATTATCTTCCCAGCAATATCCCAAGAGTTTGACTAGATTTGGATGATGAAACTTCCCTAAGAATCTTACTTCACACTGCAATTTTACAATATATCCACACATATTTTCAGTTAAATCAATATGACTTGAGTTTCACACAACAAAAAAAAAACTAGTGATGATTAGAAAAAAACACACAAAACATTTCATGTTTTGTTCAATATATCACTGTATAATTTTAAAGGTGTGTACTATTAAAAAATATAACTAATAAAATATGCAGAAGGTATTATGCTTAGTAAGAAAATGAATAAAACGGTAAAAGGTCTTAAATCTTTTCCCATATGTATATAAATTTCTTTAAACTGAATTTTCTGTGAAACCCTTTTTATTTTATCAATTTTGTAAGTTTGGAGTTAATCAGGACTTCAAGAAGGACCGCATCATGTCTCAAACACATTTGAAAAGTCAATGGTCAATGCTCGTATATCAAATCATAAGTTAATATTTATTTTATGTGATAATTAGTAGAACAAGTTGAGAGTACTTTATTGTTGCTAAACAAGATTACTTGTAAATTCAGAAGTTCCATATTATATTCATGTAGAATATATCTTGCTGTGAATGTTCTTTCACCATTTTTTATTTGATTTTTAACTATAACGGAATTTGTACCTGGATACACTGCACATTAGATAAGAAAATAATTTCCACGGATCACCACATAATTAATACTCTTTATGTATATCTTTATTGACTGATTATATATGTATTTTTTCTTGAGTGACTAATTCAGTTACGTATTCAACAGTGATATAAATGAGATGGGTACAATAAATTCAATTATAAATGATTAAAAATATAGTTTATATTCAAATACAGCTATTCAGGTTTTAAAATATTATGTTTGTGTTTTAAAATACATCAATGTTATGATGATATATTATTTGTAAAACGTCACTAAAATATCTTATACCGCGTACGTTGTGTCTTTTTAATTAGTGACACTTATACCCTAATTAAATTGACGTGTTGAAAAATAAAACCACAAAATAATTGCCAAATTAATAACATTGAATTGTTTGACTAATCAGTATTATAACTAACATATATACAGTAGTACGTTTTAAAAAAACTCGTAATATTGATCAACAAAACGACAAGTAGCAAGTTAATATTGTTTCAGATATTGTTTGAAGATTATAATCTTGTGCTTACACTTTTAGGCTTTTTTTTGGAACACTACACTTTTAGGCTAACACTCCTATAAATGCCCAGTCTAATAGTAGTACTTTTCGTTAATAATGTCATAAATAGATCGCAATTTGAATTTATTTCTCTAATTTTCTCCTATATTAATGCACAAATGATATTTGTTTCCAATATATACTTGCCTAAATTAGAAGTTTTTAATGATTCCCATGCAAATTGAAATAAAATAAATGAAAAAAGGAGGAAAGTTAAGAGTTACTTGCCTGCCACTCATGCAGCCCTTGAGCACTTTCAGGGTTAGATTTCTTAACGGCGATTGGTATTCCGACGCCGGCCCTCGACGGAGATAAGGTCTCCTCGTCCACCCATCCTTTGAAAACCTGTCCGAACCCGCCTTCTCCGATCATCGACTCCGGCCGGAAATTCTTTGTCGCCGTCATAAGATCCAACAATGTGAACATCTTTAGATTTGGCGTCACTATCTTCCCGCTCGGCGGCACTGCCTTTGACGGCGGAGTCTCAACTGCTCTTGGCTTCTCCTGCTGTTTTCTACGAGACGGGTCATCGACGGGTCTAGGATTCTCCTGTGGTTTTTTACCAGAAGTGTTATCTACGGCGGGTCTTGTATTATTACGTCCTGTTTCCGGCGCTGGAAACTTTGGTTTTGAATCCCTAGCCGGCGGCGTCGCCACCACCGGTGGTGTGAGCTTTTGATTTACTGGATTTTGCCAATGTTTCATAAGATCAACACACGATCTTGTTAGATTGAAACCTCACTACATAAGTTCGGTTTAAAAGAAACAAAAAACAAAAAAAAAACATGTAAGAACGAACCTGGGAGGGGCTTGGTGGAGACAGGACTCACTTCGTGTCCAACACTGGAAGATCCGTTAGGACAGAAGTTACCCATCCCGACACAAATCACGCTTTGACTTTTTCTTTTTGAACTGAACAAGCTTTGACTTTGCTGTTTCTTATATTGTTATATCTTCGCTTCAATCTTTACGATTAAATAAGAGATTAGAGATAATTTTTGTGGTGATTTTAAGTGAAAGATCGAGGAAAGAGCCGAGAAAAAGAGATGAAAGACCAAGCAAACACTCTCTTAAGATATATATATATATATATAATTTTAATTATTATAAAGGTCGTGTGTTTATTTGATTTCGTCGTGGTTATATAGCAACCCCTTCGATTTAATTGGCTGATTGTTGGTACCTTTTTAATTACCAACTTCTCAACGTCTATGAATCATCATGATTCATACTTGTTGGTTGCACAAAAAATAATAATACATGTAACGTTTTCACACTACATACTAGGATTATCATGTCTATTGTCCAAAGGGATTTACGGGTCAAAAGTTAATAATAGTAATTATAATAATATTCCCTTTGAAGCTCGATATTATTTTTTATGGACCTTCATTTTCAGTCTCTATTTCTTTAACTGATTGATTCCTATGTAAATATGAATTCTAAAATTTATCTATCTTAGATTAATTGGATTTTATTTTGGATTATCGTGCTACAACATAGACATATCTTTCCCAATTCTGAGTAGCTGTAATTATCCTCAAAAAACCAACTTGGAAGTAACTCATTAATAAACTTCCTCCTCTTAGGCTGTTTTACATGGGTTTCTATTAACCCTCCGAAAATAGGTTTATTTACCTTGATCCATTTTTTGAAACCGTTGCGGTGACTATACTTATTAAAGCCGCGAACGTTCCAGCAAAAAAGTTGTGTCGACATAATTAGGCATGTTTGGGGCCCTTGCCCCGCTCACCCTTTAACTTTGAAAAATGTTTCTTTCGAACAACACGGAAATCATCTTCTTTTTCTAAGATTTCACCCTCCTCTTCTTCATCTGAGGTTTCGACATCCGAGGAGTCTGGCTCGACACCGGAAGATACCTCAGTAGGTGTTCCCTGCGGCTTCGTAGTGTTATTTTTCAGGGGTGGATCCTTGCTACATTCACCAATTGCAAAGTCAGCCTTAGTGCCAAGCTTGGAACCAACCACCTGTTCTGATGCAGTCTGAGAGTTGTGGTCGACCACTGCCCACTGCTTCTCTTTCGGTTTTGCTCTCCTTGTCTTCCGGCCATTCCCACTAGAGAGCTTGATTTTAGGACAATTGAGAAGGGTATGGGTGGTCGAGTTGCAGGGTGCACAAGTGATTGGCGCGAGCTTACATCTGGTAGACGTATGACCTATCTCGTTGCAGTGATCACAAATAGGAGGCATCCACGGGCTCGAAACGAGCACACGGCTGATCTCACCAGAATCAAATTGCACATTAACCGCTTCCGGCAGCGGCTTTCTAGGATCGATGATAGTGAATACTTTTGCCACTTCCAAATTGGTCTTGTTTGCAGTGGTAGGGTGGAGAAACTTAGGATGCCCTACCAGGCTAGCAATTCGCTCAAGCCCATCCTCGTTGAAGAATTGAAGCGGGACTTTTCGCAGCTCTAGCCAAATAGGAGCAGCCGATAACTCTGGTTTCGCTGGAACAATACCCGGTTCCCATTTTGCTACAAACATTGTTTTCCCATCTATCTGCCATAGTCTTTGGTTTATGACCCGATTCCTAGTGGCAGCATTGGGGATTCTAAACAAGTAGGCAAATCCCTCCATCTTTGACACTGCTATATCTCTATATTGTTTACTCCAAATCCCATTGACAATGTTATGTATTGTACCCTGAGAGGGTGGTTTGATGTCTTGCATTATTGCATTGTTTTATCTACTCTTTTGCATATCTTTTCATCATGTAGGTTAGGTTCTAGCCATGTTTAGGTTGCATTTTGCATACATGAGTCCCCTTTAGGTATTGGAGTTTCACATGGAAGCTTTGGAGACATTTGGGGTTCATTAGAAGTTCAAGAGGAGCAAAAGGAGTGATCTAGACCCGGNTGGACTTTTGTATGCTCGTTTCTCCTGTTCTAAAACCTAAGTTTAAGTATGTTGTAAGCCTCCAGAGGCAGATTATTCAGATTTTCATTGGTAAAACTAAGTTCTATTGAAAGATATTCTATTGGAATCATTGATTTCTATTGTTCTAATTGTTCATCTCGTTGATTTCTGTTTCTGTTTATGATCAATCCGAAACCTAAAATGGGTTTAAGAGTGATCATGAACCTTAGTGAGTAATCACCTTTGAATTCATGGGTTAGGGAGACTAAGGGTGATTAGGTTAGAGTCAAGATGTTTTACGTGTAGATTCTTCCTGTTCCTTGCATATTAGAGTAATCTTAAAGCTTTCTTTGAACTGATCATTCAAAGGTTGATCTCTAGACATTTCCCACTCAAAAG